AGGGCAGGGAGTCTGTTGGGGCTCTTGGATGTTTTGTTAGCGACACTAATTGATTTTCTCCTAAGGCCTTTTGGCTTACCTGAGCCTCAACCTATGAAGAAGAGTTGTCTTGGGCAGCATATTAACAATTAGTAAAACTGTTAATTTTCCCATTTTATTTATTTTATTTCCTCTTTTTATAAAACTAATCAAAAAGTAGGAAATGTGGTCTGCAGTCTGTGGCCTACAAGTTAACTTGCCTGTTCTAGGCCATGGACACTTGAACCAAAGCCTAATTTTAACCTTGAGTGTTGAGAAGGAAAGAAGAATGAAATCATAGCACTGCTAGAAGTGAGAATGAAAAATTAAATTATGAGGAACAACAACCTTATTCTGATCGTTTGCATTCCTTATGATATGAAAGAAAAGTACCAGTGAAGTCAGATGTAAAATAACAGATTTTTCTGTTTTGTTTCCTGAAGACAAGGCATGTCTTTCATTACTCCTGGGTGGAATTCCATGGCCAGAGAGAAATTATTACATTCTTTCATTTGTTTATTCCAAATCACTGCCTTTTACTTTTGCAATCTTTGCTTTAAGCCTTTAATTTAACATGGATAGTAAAATATATGTGTGCAATATTTACACGTTTTTATTGACTTTTCTAGAAATGATCCACTTTTACCTAGAAAATGCTGTAAGAAGGAAGGAAGGGAGGGAGAGAGGAAGGGAGAGAGGGAGGGATGGAGGGAGAAAGGAGGAGAGGGTGTAGGAGGAAGCAGCTTCACAATTTGTAGAATAGTAAAATGAAAAAAAAAAGTTTGCAGCAAAGCTCAGATAGAATTTCTGACTAGGGTAAATTCAAAACTATATGAGAAAATAGTAGGGAACAAAAAGGGAAATGTTTTGGAAGTAAGTAAGGGGGAAAAAGAAATGGAGGACTTAACAGGGGATAAAGGAATTGAAGATGATTAAAAATGATACATGCATGTACCAGTTACTTGAAGCAATCATCACTGCTATGTATTACAAACATGCATTAATAAAAATGTGAAGTGCTATGACAATGTTATTGAGAATGAAAGGAAAACTGAGTAGGGAGAGTTAATAGTAGATGAGATGACTTTAGGGGTCAACATAAATGATGCTCATGATAGATAAATCTGCCCCTGTACCTTTCTGCTAAATTGTACCCTTTTTTAAAAGTGGAAAATATTTGTCCAATTGAGTTATACTTAAATTTTTAAATATTTAGTATCTTTAGGCTTATAAACAGGCCCAATAATGATTTGTTGTCATTATTCCATGGCAAGCACCTGAGGTGAATTGCAGATGTCTGTACCTATTCCCTAACTTAGCATAAAAATGAAGTTAGTACATTGCATGCTACGGTAACTTATATAGCATCAAGCTCTAGTACTTAGAGCATGGATGACAAATCAATAGCAATCATTAAGTAAAAGAAGCTGTTTTATTTCAAGTAAGCAAAGGTTGTCTCCACATGACCTCAAGGAAAACATTGCAGAGCAGATCTACTGATATACCTAAATTTTAATAGGGAAACAAGTGAGTTGTGTTTCTTGCTAATATACTGAATGAAACTGGGTAAAAAGATGCCACATCTTGAAGTCTCCTTGTTGTAGGCAGATGTCATATCACGTATACTATATTCCTGTTCACTGCTGGTCAGTTCATGAGATAAACTTGGGGTCAGTGATTTTATATCTGTGGGGGGGTGGTGTGTTCTTTTGGCTCAGGGTAAATGTATTCACACATGGCAAGGACTTCACAGCTAATATTTAGTTATCCAGGTCTGTGATCTGTGCTTTTCAGTAAAATTTGTTCAAGTTTCTGAAAGCAGCACTTTTGAAGAATTGGAAAGTTCCCTTGCTGACTCAGCCTTGTTGATGGTCTTCTAACCTGAGAGACTTGCTAAGCTTTCCTGGGCGTGCAAGCCTCCCCTTCCTTTATGTGGAGCAGCAGGCGACACTGTTCTTCCTGAGCTCTGAAGAGCCTAATCTTGCGCTATCTGTAAATAAAGCTTAGTGAGGCCTTGCTATGATTCTTTCCTATTCACTCAATGGTAATGTTTTTCTTTTAACTTCATGTGTTCTTCCCTGTGTTCTTCTTGGCGGGATACTTATTTTTAATGCTTTTTCTGGCTTGCCTTAAGAAGCTGCACCTCTTCAAAAACCCTGGCTCTGAAGTTAGCTAGGAACTTTGGTTTGTATTCATTTTCATATAATGCCTTCCTCACACAGGGACAAGGAGGTGTAATGTGTTCACTTTGAAGAAATGACTACAGTTGTAAAAACATTTTCAGTACACTTAAAATGGGCTTTATAGTTTGTTTCTTTCTTTACAGTTTGTTTCTTAATGAAAAGTAGGAATACAGTTTTTATTGACTAAATGAAAAGAATAATACATCTAAGAATTTCTTGAACAGGCTGCACATAGAAGGAATGGTGATGGCTCCATATTTTTCTGCTCTCCCTTTATATCTTGTTAGCTAAGTTTATTTTTAGAGTGTCATAATGAAAAAAGAAGCATTTCACTTATCTTGAAAATAAATTAGGGGAAAGTTAACTAGCTGACCAGAATCCTCAGCCATTTAATGTTCCACCAGGATTAGACTTGGGGCAGCTGTTTTTACCATTCGGCATAATGTTCACTACTTAAGGGATCTTTAGACGTACCAGCCCTTCAGCAGAAAAATAAGACGGATGTGCACACTCCTGCGGCAGTGTAGTCAGTGAGGAAGCCAGGGTCTGCGCACAAAGCCCTAGTACTGTACTGTCACTACGGGCAAGCAATCTGACCTATCTTTTGTTTTCTTCAGTTGCCTTATCTGTGGAACAAATGGATTAAGTGAATCTGCTTTAAGAGTTTGCATTCATTACATAAGAAAGCGCATGCTGAGAACTGAGAATAGTGTGTAAAGTATGTACAGTGTACCACATATGTTACTCTTATTGCTGTTACAATCAGTATGTGAATCCTAAAAAAGTAAACAAACACAATTAGGCCCTAGAAACTGACAGGAAATATGCACGCGTGAATGAGTTTCTAGAGAAGATTAATGCTGCCCATTTATTGGGCAGGATGTTTAAGGAAGGGCTCCGAGAGAAGCAGAGTTCAGCCTCTGGCTGTGTGTCATGGACTCCCCACCTCACTCCTGCTTGCCTGTCCCCAGATGCACAGACCATGTGCGGCCCAGTAAGACAGCCACGTGGTTCTGACAGAGACACTCAAAATGCCCAAATTATTCCAATTTCATGAAAGAACAGACACCAAGGGAAGAAAAGGAGAAGCATATAAACACCATCCTAGTACTTAATTATTGAAGATTGCTCCTTCTCCTATCTCTTCTTTCTTCTGTAAATTTTGAAAGGCTTTATTAAAACCTTTGTCAGTTCAGGAGAAATATTTTAGTGAGTCTATCCCCTTCCCTTTAGTCAGGAATTAAGAGAGGTAGGTCGGACTCATTTTCCTGTTCATGGTACCTAGAATGTGCTCGAGAGCATCCTAGGTGCTCAGCAAAGGCGCACTCAGTAAGTACAAGACTAATGAAGTACCACCTTGGTTATTTTTATGGGAATAAGCACATGAGGAAAATGATCAACTGGAAGTGCTGAAAGAGATGTAAATAGTGTAGCTAGAATACTGTTTCTCAAAATTGGAGAGTAAAAGACTTGTTACTGTTGCTTTCACTATCAGATTTCCTCTGGGTCCATCTGAGTGCTTTTGGGTACCTTAGCAAGATGACTATTTTTGTAGCTGAGGATGTAAGTTCATGCAATCATACTCACTCTCACACCACAGATGCTCCGGAAAGCATCACCCCTGGAGAATTCGGGAGTCCAGGGAGATGCCCAGCTTTGTGCCACAAGCCTCACCCTCTTCAGGACACCATACTGTTTGGATTTCAACATCACCTAAACGATTTTACTTTTAAAAAATAGCATATTTTTTCATATTTTAAATTTATTTATTTATTTGGTACAGAGTCTTATTACTCAGCTCAGACTTGTAGTGATGCACCTCTCTCAGCCTCCACAGTGCTGGGATTACAGGTATGCGCCAACAGGCTTGGACTCAGCGGCTGGCACAATTCGCCAGGGCTCCAGGGTTGGTACAGCACGTGGTACTGGGAATCAAACCCAGGTCCTTACACTTGCCGAGCTATCTTCCCAGTCCTAGTACATTTCTTAGATGTAACAGATGCCTTCCTTGTAGGAATTGGTGCATGTGTATATCACATGTTGATCCTTCTTTGTTTTCCCTCCCACCCCAACCCCCAGCTGCCCTTATCATCTTCACAAAGTCTATTTCCTATCATCTGTTTTTTGAGTATTCTTTTTTAATTTTAAAGAGAAAAAAATAGGGCCAGAGAGATGTCTCAGTAGAGTAAGTACTTGCCTGGCAAGCTCAAGGGCCTGAGTTCAATCCCTAGTTCTGCAGAGAGAGGCAGAGAGAGAGAGAGAGAGAGAGAGAGAGAGAGAGAGAGAGAGAAGCAAAAACAATGATACATAATTCTAAAACAAGGTGATAGGAAAAAAATTACAGCATATTTTTATCTTCAACTTAGTTGCTCAGACTACAAGCGTGCCAAATTGATCAAACAATACAACACAAACCATTCCTTTCAATGAACATATAGGAATTGCTAATATAATTATCTTAGCTATCTTTTATTGGAATATATACTTTTTTCTTTTGCCTTCCTTCTTTTCTCCTTTCTCCCATCCCAGTTCTTCATTCCTTTTGGGCAATTTTATTCCCTTCCATAATATCCCTTGCACATTTTGGATCTTACTCTTTTAGCTTCTTACACTAAGGGGACAATATGATCCATCTTTTGTTCTGACTTTTAAGTTATTTATACTTGGGATCTCTCCTTGACGATCTCCATGGGATCGTCACTGAACCTCCCGTGACTTATTTCACATTTTTGAGATCTCTGATCTTAGTGGTCTGTAACCTAAACCCAGAACTCTGGTCTATCTCGGTTTTTCTTCTAGGTAACTGCTTGCTAGACTTGCCGCGGAAGCAGATCCTGGGCCCGGAGGAACTTCCAGGACAGACGTACGATGCCACGCAGCAGTGCAACCTGACATTCGGTCCTGAATACTCCGTGTGTCCCGGCATGGATGTGTGCGCCCGGCTCTGGTGCGCCGTGGTGCGCCAGGGCCAGATGGTGTGTCTGACCAAGAAGCTGCCGGCTGTGGAAGGGACCCCCTGCGGGAAGGGGAGAATCTGCCTGCAGGGCAAGTGCGTGGACAAAACCAAGAAGAAATACTATTCAGTAAGTAGTGTTTGCGTCTCCCCAAGCCTGAGAGTCACCAGGGAGGCGTCTGTAGCATCGTCCTCAGAAGGCTTTCCTTCTGTTCTCCTAGGGAGAACATTGGACAGCTTCATCTTGTACCCACAGTTGCCATTCTCAGTAATTGAATACTGGGGAATGTGCAGGTAATAAAAATTTCTTTCTATATCACAACCTTCCACAAGGGAACATGCAACCTTCCACAAGGGAATCTGACTGAGATCCCAAGTAGGGTCCTCAGAATTATTTTTTGTCAATTCAGTTTTAAAGTCCTCCTGTTAAAGTTATTAGAATACATCTATTTAAATCCAGCAAGAAAGTAAGTAGTAGAGCCTACATTATAATTCTTATAATTATTTAACAACTTCCAATATGACCATTTTTTTAAAAATCCTGTTTCAAGTTCATCTACTGTTAGCAGCTACAATAAATTAATTCTGCTCCAGGGAAGCATTTCTACCATAGTCCAGCTTCAGGTCAGCATCTAACTCTTACTCTTTAAGGCCAGATCAGAGTATATGTTCACTGTCGTATGTAGTTTCCCAAATCCCTAAAAGTCAAAGCTGCTTTGTTCTCACTGGCCATGTGTTTCAGTCTGTCTCCCAGTCAGGCATGAGTAGACACCCAACACCAGCAGCCAGGGGCAGTTCTGCACATTTTCTGTGCAAAAGAGTGTTTGAAATATGTTGCCTGTGGTCATCTTAGCTTCCTCCAGGATGAAGTCCTGGGTGGTATCCTTGGATCACTTGTTCCTTGCAGGATGTATGGAAGTAGGGTGTCACATTGAATCAGGAATTATGCCAATCCAAGCTCCAAGACATTTGGATATGCAGCAGTCTGTCACAGACAGAATGTATGACATTAATGATGGAACTGCAGACTTTAGGGCTAGAAAGAAAAAGATACAGATACAATCTGACAGTGCTCGTCATCAGGCAGACCACTAGAATTATGCCTTTCATCAAAGATCCAAGACACAAAGAGACAACATGGTTCAATGATTGTGAACAGACTTGACAATAGCAGAGAAAACAAGAGGAAATCTTTGCAAAGGGTTAAGTATCTAGGGTAATGTTTATTCTTCACTGCTGGAAGTGGGATGCTGGATGAAATGAATTCCTAGAATGGGAAATGTGTTCTCATTCAGAGCATGACCTTGTTCAGCTCAGCAAAGACTTAACTGTGCCTGTCTTGAAGTTACCTCTGTATCGTTACGTACACGTAGTTTCCAGAAGTACTGTACAGTTTTGATGCTTTCTTCCTCTTGTGTTAAACTGTCTTCTGTTTTCTATTTCAGACATCAAGCCATGGCAACTGGGGCCCTTGGGGGCCCTGGGGCCAGTGCTCTCGCTCATGTGGGGGTGGAGTACAGTTTGCCTATCGCCATTGCAATAACCCTGCACCCAGGAACAGTGGCCGCTACTGCACAGGGAAGAGGGCTATCTACCGATCCTGCAATGTCGCGCCCTGCCCACCCAACGGTACGCTGCTCCAAAGCGTCAGTAAGCCCAGGGAACCATGTGGAATTTGTGTCCTAGGAGAAGTAAATAGGGAAAGCTGGAGAAGCAGTGCTTACGTTATTAGTGCCCAGACCCAGAAATGTTCAAATCAATAACAAATATGTGACTGATCTTTAAATTATTATTATGAAAAATGTATTTAGAAAATTAGAAGTAAAATATCCTCTTTCAACTCCATATAGATAAAAATATTCAACACTGTTGTTTATAAAAGCTGTGATAAAAAATAAATTAACATCCTTTTAAAATTCATTATTTAGGATCAGCAAGATAGCTCAGTGGATTAAGGTGCCTGCTTAGGCAGAGCTCAGTGGCCAGGGTTTGATCCCTGGTGTGCCGTGGTGGCCCTGCCCACTGAGATGGCCGTTGAGACTGGGTGTGGTGACGCATGCCTATAATCCCAGCGCTTGCGAGACTAAAATCAGGAGGATCACTACAAGTCTGATCTGTGTGTGTAGTGAGATCTTGTAGACCCTGTAGACCCTTTCCTAAATACAGAAAAAAAATTAATTAATTAATTAATTAAAAAATCATTATTTAAATGCACAAGAATATATTTAAGGTACAGAAGAACTATAGGGGGGAAAAAGGGGGGGCCAAGGAGATGGCTCAGCGGAATAAGCGCTTCCCTGGCAAGCGCAAGGGCCTGAGTTCAGTCCCTGGTTCTGCCAAAAAAAAAAAAAGAAGAAGAACTATGGCATTCATATAATGTGTTTTATTCCTTAGGTAAATCTTTTCGGCATGAGCAGTGTGAGGCTAAAAATGGCTATCAGTCAGATGCTAAAGGAGTCAAAACGTTTGTGGAGTGGGTGCCCAAGTACGCTGGCGTCCTGCCGGGCGACGTGTGCAAGCTGACCTGCAGAGCGCGGGGCACAGGCTACTATGTGGTCTTCTCTCCAAAGGTAACTACACCCTGGCTGGCCAAAGCAGTGGGCCGTCGCAGTGATTCGGTTGAAGGAAGTCTGCAGGCGCCAAGTGCACGCATTCATTATTTGGGGAGGGTGGCTGGACTGCGGAGGGTTTTTGTTTTCATCTCTATAATTTCTACTGTTTTCAAACTTTATACAATCATAATTTAAAGAAAACATAACAAATAAATGTTTTAAAAACTATTTTTAAAAAGCATAACTCACTCTCAGGGATGACTAAATGAGACCTTAACCTCAAAATACCCAAGAAAATAGCCAGCATGTTCTAGGCCCATTTGATAAAGGGACTATAAGAACTTTTTGCTGAATTATAAGGCTGAGATCAGGTCTACTGTCTCTTATACAAGCTTTGAGTAAGTTATGGACCCGTAATATGAATAATATCTCAATTCTTATTTTTCAGAAAATAGAATTTTCTAAATATACCATAGTTCTTATTTTTCTCTTATAGTTTTTGGATTACAATTGCAAACCACTTTTAACTTACTAACAAGTGCTATATTTAAAACACTTCTGAAACTGGCCTTCAGAGATGTATGTTATTGAAAAACAAGCTGATGTCTGACTTAGGTAATTCTTAAAATATTGTGTTGCACCTCTGAAGTAGTACATTTTCATTAAAAGTATTATAGAAAGATAAAACAAGAACACCATTTCCAAATAACACCGTCTAGTATTGCATATACACAAATCAAAAAAAATCATATTTATGTTATATATAGTCACTTGGACAAGCCACAAATGCTTATAATTGTATGCTATTTTACCTGGCTTTGCAACAACATATACTGACTTTTTAAATTCAAATTATGCTCTAACTACATCAGTATACACTTTTCTGACATCTCAAGGGTCTGTGTTTTCCAGTTACCTGCTTCTGCTTCATTGTCTAGCAGACCCACACAAAGAGGGGTTTTTCCACCTATGACGTGTTCTTAAATAAGTTTAATTTTCACCTTGTTACTCTAATAAACTTTATGCAACAAAGAAGAATCTCTATGTCCTTAAACCTTCTTACATTTAGCTCTTTCAAGGAGTGATAATCTCTTGCAATAAGTGAAAACATTGTTTTAAACCATGCAAATACCGTGATATAGTAATGCCTTGGTGTAAGAGTGCTTTTGTTTGCAAACAACTTGGTTCACAAACAGAAGTTTGGGCCAGGGAGATAGCTCAGTGGCCTAAGTGCCTGCCTGGTATGTGTAGTGCAAGGTCCTCCTGAGTTGATGCCCAGTATAAAAAATATGAGAGAGAGAGAGAGAGAGAGAGAGAGAGAGAGAGAGAGAGAGAGAGAGAGAGAGAAAGAAAGGAGGTGACACAAACAAACAGAAGTGTTTGGTAGAATGTTGCTTTTGTCTGCAGACTGCATCAGGTGATGAACATGGCTGCAACCATCTTTCCCACACAAACACAATCATGAACATCTTTTCCAAACTTGTAGAACAAATTAAATTTGTAAACCAAGGTCCATTGAAATACTGTGGAAGATTGTTATGGATACAAAAATGGAGATTAGTACCTTGAATCACTTAACATCTCGGATTGAAGGGAAAGTAAATATTAAAGACTTCTCCAATCTTCCTACTGCCTGTATGACAAAGATTTTTTCAATTAGATGCTTGTGAAAACTAAATGGTTGATTGATTGTTGGTTGCTTGTTGTTTTCTAATGTATAGTTTAATCTAACTCCAGTTAGAGCTTGCTAACTCACTAAAGGAACCAAGATGTACAGATGTGCTCCACCGCTGAGGTGTCTTCCATGTTTCAGGTGACTGATGGGACCGAGTGCAGACCTTACAGTAATTCCGTCTGTGTGCGAGGGAGATGTGTGCGCACGGGCTGCGATGGAATCATTGGGTCAAAGCTGCAATATGACAAATGTGGAGTATGTGGAGGTGACAACTCCAGTTGTACAAAGGTTATTGGGACCTTCAATAAGAAAAGGTAACATTCTAGAACCCTTGCCCTTCTAGGGTCTGAATGAAGCTTTAGACCAGCAAACTGGGGACCAGGGCACTCATACTACCACATCAGCTCTCTGTTGGAAGCTGCCAATGGGAGAGGCTGGATTAGCACACTGTGAATATGAGAGGGAAGGACAGAGATGACTAAAGCTTTGGTGGCTCAGTGGACACTCATCAACTGCTGTGGCCCAGGGACTCAAAGTCTTACAGAGTCAAGCAACTAAAAAGAACAGTGGGTAACATCTCATTGTAGTCATCTCTTGCAGATTGATTATTTCTGAAGTATAATGCATGAGAGGATGGCTTGTAAGTCGTGCTCTTCTTAAGAAAACATTTCCCCCTAAAAATGTAAGTTAATTAAAGTGGCACGGATGCCAGTCCTATTAGAGTGCACCATTCTGGTTTCTATCTACCCTACTAAGGAAATATACACAGCAGTGTCTCCTGCTTCTCCAGTTTTGCTTTAAATGCATAAGAGCATTACTTGCCATTTTCTAGTGTAAGATATAATGTATTCAGAGGATTCTGAGTTGGCTGGAGAACCTGATGAAATAATACAATATTTTTCTTTTTTGCAAAAACTCATGCTGAATCATATTGGGTTGAGTGTACCTGTGTTTGGAACATAGGTGCTATTATTAACTTGAAAATGATAAATAGGCCAAATTAACAATGATAACTTATAAAAGTATTAAACATGATGCAAAAAACTGAAAATGTTCTTTTGTATGATTTAAAAATATGAGTGAAAAGTTTATTTTGAGTTAAGTATAGTTTACTAATGTTATTTGTTGGGAAATAATAATTATTTGCCTAATTATGTGGGCCCACAGCTGTAAAAAAACAAAAACAAATAAACCTGCATTCCAATTATATTTCACATTTCTGTATATTTCAAAGGTATGAGACACCTTAGAGGTGATCAGTCATCTTTTATTATAAAAATGAGCAAACCAGGAAGGTGGACATTTACGACTTACACAGTTTTGCAGGGCTGAGGAATGCCAGAGCAGTGGTTATAATTTAAGTCATAAAATATGTAAGCCATTGTATAATTTAAGAAAAGGAGCAAAAGAAAGAAGGAAGGGAGGGAGGCAGAGAAGGTGGGTGGAGGGAGGGGTACAGAGAAAAACAGAGAAGAGAAAAATGGAAGAAAGGAAGAAGGAGCAAAGTACAGGAAGAAGCAAAAGGGAAAGAAAGAGAAAAGGTGATGGAAGTTTGTGACCTAGACGAGGAATAAAAGTATCTTTAAAATTATAACCTATACACTACTTGCTATGTATTCTGCTAGGGTTAAAAAGCATTTATAAAAATGTTAAATAGACCCTTGCAAGTTTTTGTGTTGACAACTAATATCTACACATAGAATTTCATATAAACAGACAACAGACTTCACAATAAAGACAGGTGATACGCAGCATAACCACTTCTAAACTGAGTGTGTCATGTGGGAAAATGTGGGAACTGGAACTTAGCTAACTCAGTTTCTCACACTTCACACTGCACAGGCAATAACCAAGAAAGTAAAGTGTAGTATAGGAAGACATTATAATGAAATTTGTTACAAAGGCAAACATTTTGGCAAGCACTGCTCCTTCGTATTGGTATAGTCCCATGGTGCTTAAGTAGTATTTTGGTCCTAGAACTTGCCCCGAGTTTACAGAGAGTTACAATGACTATACGTTGGCCCTTTCCCTAGAGCAGAGGATGGCTCTTTAGATTCTATCTTCCTTGTCCCCTACTCTAATACCTTATTCAATTTATCAAAAGGTCATGTGGAAACTAAGCATTTAGAAATTTAATAAAATGCTAATATCTATTTCTTTGTTAGTACTAAGTTCTCTTTATCAAATTACAAAATACGACTTTACATCCAGTGTCTTATCTCATGACACCCAGAGCTATGACAGAAATAGAAGCAGAGTCCCTAGTCCATCTCCAGACAAACAGCTACTAAACTTGTGCTCTTGAATTAGTGCTTCAGAGTCACGGCTTCCTGCACCTCATCCTGCAATGGGATTTGCTCTGGGTTTGATGTCACCTTGAGAATTTCTAAAAGTATCTGTATAATTCCAATAAACTTGAAAGCATTAATCATTTCCATGATATTACACAAAGATAATTTTTTGGAGGTTCAAACTTACATATACCTCATCTTGTGCCAAAAATAATATAAAACACCTTTGTAAATATGGTAGTATTAATAAACATGGCAATAGCATATAAATCATTAAATGAAGTTGGTATAAATTTTAAAAATAAAGGTAAGTTGCTAACATCATCCTGTTTTTGAACATCTCAATGAAATTGTGTATAATCTGATAGCCTAACTGCAATTTTATTTTGTTATAAACATTATTTTTAAAGCCAATTTAAAGTAATCTCTTCAATACATTAAGACTTTATATTAAGATAAAGGATTACTATTTGTTTAGCAGTTGAAGTGTTTACTTACTTTTTCTTTTCCTCCTCTTCTTCCCTCCTTCCCTCCCTCCCTCCTTCCCTCCTTCCTTCCCTCCTTCCCTCCCTCCCTCCCTCCCTTAACTCCCTTTCTACTCTACTCTTCTGTGAACACTTGTGCCTCCAGCAAGGGTTACACTGACGTTGTGAGGATCCCTGAAGGGGCAACCCACATAAAAGTCCGACAGTTCAAAGCCAAAGACCAGACTAGATTCACTGCCTATCTAGCCTTGAAAAAGAAAAATGGTGAGTACCTTATCAACGGGAAGTACATGATCTCCACGTCAGAGACCATCATCGACATCAACGGCACAGTCATGAACTACAGCGGCTGGAGCCACCGGGATGACTTCCTGCATGGGATGGGCTACTCAGCCACGAAGGAAATTCTAATCGTACAGATCCTTGCTACAGACCCCACTAAGGCGCTAGATGTCCGCTACAGTTTTTTTGTTCCCAAGAAGTCCGGTCCAGCAGTAAACTCTCTCACTAGCCATGGCAGCAATAAAGTGGGATTGCACACTTCACAGCTGCAGTGGGTGACAGGTCCATGGCTGGCATGTTCAAGGACCTGTGACACCGGCTGGCACACAAGGACGGTGCAGTGCCAGGATGGCAACCGGAAGTTAGCAAAGGGTTGTCTTCTCTCTCAGAGGCCTTCTGCATTTAAACAATGCTTGCTGAAGAAATGTTAGCCTGCAACTACGCTTTCATGCACAAAGAAAACTGGAGGATGTGTCATGGATACAGGTGTGCTGACCAAGAGGTCTACCCCATGTACAGAACATCACCCTCACACGTCAGCATCACTGTCACCAAGAGTCACATTATGGGCAGAATCTGCTCTCCATGACCAAAAGATGTGTGCACTGCTTCGTGTGACAATGGTGACCTTGAACTATTAAAAAAAAAATAACTTGGGAGTTATTTAACAATCCCTGGGCCTGCGAGAACAAAAAGTAAAGAAAACATTAATGAATGTAGAATTAGGGGACATTTGAAGGTAGCAGAACAGTATCCCCTTTGTCACCTACCTCTTATAGAATGTCTTCAAAGGCATTATTATCAATTTCACCCATAATACGCAGTAGCTTGTTTTTACTGTTTGTAAGTGCATTTTTCCTTGGTATGTCACTTTATATCACTTGGTTCTATTTATATATGTGTGTTTGAGTGTGTGTGTGTGTGTGATTGTGTATGGATGAGTGTGTGTGTGTGTTTCTATCAAAAAGTGTTTGACCAAAGTAGGTCTGCAGCTATTTCAGTTCCCAGTTTCCAGAAAGAGCTGTGGATATTTTACTGGAAATTTAAAACTTGCTGCTGTTTTAATAAGATTTAGTATATTTTCTGATTACAAGAGACAAAATATATTCAAAAATCATTTTAACAGCAAGCATTATATGAACAATTCTGAAAAGAAAAACAAATCTCAGTGTATTTAGTCATTTAAATATGTTTCTCGGTCCATCTACTTAAATATATGACTGCTTGTATTTTTTTCAGGCAGCCAACCAAATTAACACACCAATAGAATGTAGAAATAGTGTGTGTGCGCGTGTATATACTCAATATTCAAGAGTAAAAATTATAGTTTTCTTGTGTTGGGATTTTAAAGAAAAAACATATGTCACCATGTTTTCACACTGCTTGCTCTTTCTGTGGCTCCAACTGCTATCTTACAACATGTAATATACATACAGAACACACCACATAGTTTTCTATTGCATCCAACACCTTAAACATTGGTATACCTCTTACCAGCAAGCCTTTAAGATGTCTTTTGCTAGTTTGTCTGTTTCATTCAAGGGTTCTGAAAATCTACAATGTTTTTGTCCTTCTTCTTGGCTTGGTTTAATAGGCATATTCAAGATTACTTGGCAATAAGCCACATCTAGAAAAGGTAATTATCATTAATATGGTTAATGCAAAAGAGTGGTCAACATTCATAAGACTGTTTCCACATCACAGGCAATCATTTCTTAATATTAATATGAATATATTCCTAGTGTATTAAAGAGTTATCCAATTATAAAGTGTTTGGTTGTACCAGTACATATGTGAGTGATAAAACGTTATGATTTTCAGGAAGCTTATTGCATTTATTTCCATGTCTTATCAGTAAGTTATAAGCTTGAAGAGTCAGGCATTGAAAATGTTTCACAATCACATACATGAAAATTTATTTTTAGATTGTAAGTTGCATATCCACATGCACATAATTCAGAAAATCAAAGATGTTTAGTTCACAAGGATTTATTTTTCTTTGTGAAATACTAAAAAGCCATTGTTTAATGTAAAATTTTATAAACCCATGCCAAATGTGCCTATTGTTAAAGATTTAAATATAAGAATTTAGGGAATCATTGATTGGGTTCCATTATATTTATGAGAATTTATTTTTAGTATGAGATATTTTTATGATAAAAGAATTATCTAACTGATCTCACCACATCACATTTGTTCACTCCTTTCAGGGCCCATAAAAACATATGTCTCTTGCTCAAAATATTTTCTTAAAAATAATTTTTAAACAGATTATCATTTTACAGAATTAACATTCATCTTGTGGATCTTCACAGAATGATTTTTCTTTAGACATAGTAATTTTATCTTAAGGAATTATCATTTCAAGAATTGTGTCTACACAAGACCAACAACCTATATGTGATGGAGAGCACCCTGTAGCAAAGGCAAAGGCAGGAAACAGAGCAAGGCAAGTTGCTCAGAAAAAGAATTTAAAGAAATCAAACCAATATTTAACAACATAGAATCAACACAAAATTCAATATTACATTATCCAGTTTTGAAAAATTATTTTAATCAAGTAATTCAAATGTGACAGAATTCATTTTCATTTTTTGTGATTATATTTATGGCAACATTAAAAATCATTGAAGAGTAAACATGGTTGTCTCCTACTCTGCTTCACCACACCATATTACCATATTCATAGTTTTTTTAGTAGCATTTATCAATAACTCACTTTTCCCCCAATTCATGAAGTTCTATACTTCCCACTGAAACACTACTAGAAAGATGAGAATAAATTTACCAGTTTTCAGGGTTTTTAAGTTCTCTCTCTCTCTCTCTCTCTCTCTCTCTCTCTCTCTCTCTCTCTCTCTCCCCGCAATTGTTCATGAGCGTCATTGAGGAATGTATGTCTCAACTCCTAAGAAAAGTTGCATAGGCTGAAAACTACAATCCAGAAAAATGGAATGTTCAGTAGATTTTTTTTTTTTAGAGTGAGCAAAGGGAAGGTGCTCTGTGACTGTATTTCAGCCCCACTTCTACACTGTCTCTCACATTTCTGTACCTTAATTTTGATTTTAAAAGAAAAACAACCTAGGGTTCAAGATGCTGAAAAGAGAGAGAGAAGAGTTTCTTTAAAATGCTCAGGTTTCTAAGAATTTAGTTTCATTTGCATAACTAGTCTAGAGTAAGTTTTATTAAATTTATTATAGGGAGCCCAGAAGGAAATAGCATTTATTCCTTCTAGAATAGAAAAGTTTAAATTAAGCCCTGCCTTGTGGTTTAACTATAAGAACATTGCTGTAATTTATTTAACAAATTCAATTTCCCTTGCCTTCCTGTGGAAACAGTTTTATCTCATTGAGCTAAGAATTAAGGGATGAATCACAAACAAAGAAAAATAAGTTGCAGCACTGAAAAAATAAGTAATTTATTGTTTTGCAACTGGTATGTGAATTTGTGTAACAAAATTATTTATTCTTATTTAACAAAAATATGTGCAAATTCTTCTATATTTAAAACATTTTCCTGTTGTCTTACTTTTTAATTTATGCTTCATGTTTGTGTATAAAGAACAGTTTTGTGTGTTTACAAATAATATACAGCACTGGTTGCTTTTGTATTTTTTTATACTGAAAGCTTTCTGTGTGAATCAAGTGTACATGTATATATTCTCAAGTTTCCTTCTTTTGATACTATCATTGTTCTTTCCAAGGAAATTTTAAAATTAGTCTTTCATCAGTAGTGTTCATTACAGGAGCTACAATAACAGATCCTTTATATTCCATCAACACTGATATTTCCAACTCGGAGATAAGAGAAAATGCTTGTTCCATCAAAAAAGGTGCAATTTGTAAAACTGAGCATAGAGATAGCCTAGAACACAGGGGTGAACCTGAGGCACCCCTGTCACAGCAGGCTGTTTGCATCAATAAAAGCACTAAGGGGTTTGTCAACCCTAACCTGGAAGTTTTCCACAGAAGCTTAGACCTACGAGAGAATCAAATTGATTTGCATGATGGATAAACACAAAGCACTGTCAATACACTACCTGAAAGGCCTTTACACACAATTTTTGAGTGATAAGAGTAGCAATAAAAGCACAGCTTACCTTTAGAGGCTTGGAAACACTTCCTAAAATTAATAACATTTGGTCTCTAGTGTCTGTAGCATTATAGAAATGAACACACACACACACACACACACACACACACACACACACACACCAAATTTAGATTTCTGTGATTCAGATGCCACTTATTTAGCTGTTTGTATACACATTGAGCAACCATTGGGGAAATGTGATTTTTTTTTGTAACTCTAAAATCATCCAGAGTTATGGTTGTTCTAGGAGAGGTGCAGCAACACCTCTGAGAACACGAACTTGCCTCCAGCTGTGACTCCACAGTCTGCTCCTGCAATGAGGCAAAGCCCCTTGGACTCCCAGCACAGTTCATGGGCTCCATCTCTGGCTCTGTCCCCCTCCACTGACTTTTTCTTTGCTAACAAGCTCACTGTCACAGTTACATTCCAGCAGTTCCAGCAGCCAGGCTGAGAAGTTTGGGATTTGCACTATGGCTTAGCACTCACTGTTGGTAAAATAAGCACGAATTTAATGACCAGATCTTGCTACTAATCTGGGTCTGAGAGTGAAATATCATTGGCAAGGTGTGTGTATATTAGTAAGTCCTTATAATTAAATTTAAGGCCAAATATCTTATTTTTATACAATTCAAAGCTATGAATAAACGAAATAACCACGAATACAGAAGTACATGTAAGAAACAAATTCAAGGTGCTTTGTCATTTAGACTCAAAGCAAAAGAATTTATATGTTTTCCTTAGTTTTCTCATTTGCCAATAATGTATAGTTTCATATTATCAAAGGTAGACCAACTGACCTGACCATTCCACTGAAATATTTTGCTAATAGTTGCCTGTTAACCTGAACTACAAAATAATTTATTGAGTTATATCACTGTAAAACACATCAGTCTACAGTGCATAATTGTGCCCTGTTCCATTAAAGTATGGGCTCAAGTTGAAATATGGAACCAGGTATTAGCCAATTAATAGGAATGCAAGATCAGCGAAACATCTATCTAGCAAATGCCTAGTGGCGAGATGTAATTCTACTGCATGTTTGTCCCCCCCCCCCGAGAGAGTGAATAAAGGAATATATTGTTAGAACTTGCTTGTTTTGAGAGGAAGACTTTATTATACATATGAGCTGTCCCTATTACCTGCACCTTACTCCCTTACTAGCACTTTGGCCATCATTTTGCTGTCTCTAATCCTTACCTTGTGGCTTCACTAACTAGTTCTTATGAACTGCTTAGATATAGTGATTATAGGATCAATAATGGCTCCTCTTCCTATGAAGTATGGCCGCACTAGTTACTTCCTCTAATACTGTGATGAAAACTATAATTTACTAATAAAACAGGGCATTTTTTCTTTTTTTTTAATACATTCCATGGTGAATTGTTACAGAGGTGCTAACATCTTCCATGATCATCAATGAATGTATTATTTCTGGGTTCTAATGTTTTTTATGTGATCTTACAATTTTCAAGAAAGACCTCTAAATTTTTGTCAAGGCTCAGCACAACTTCATGCTCAAAATTCAGGAAATAAACATAACCAGTGTCCATTCTGACCAGCAGTGGTGTGTGACATAGACTACATGAATATTTGAGAATCTTCTTCTTCTTATCATTATTATTATTATTATTATTATTATTATTATTTGTAGTACTGGGGATTGAACTCAGGCCTTGCGCTTACCAGGTAAGTGCTTATTCTACTGAGCTATCTCCCCAGCCAAGAATCTTTAATTTGTCAGCAAAACTTGAATTCTGTCAAGACAAAGTCGTATATAAATGAGCCCCACTTCATAATTTTCAAACCATCTATGCTACATTCAAATGTTGGTGTATTCACTCAAACTCGTTTTAGCTTTGTGATAGTTTTTGCCTGTGGTAAACACTTAGTGACTACATCTCAACCTTTTCTTTAACAACTCACAGTGTATTAGAAGCATGTTTTCTATACTGAGAATGTATTTAGAAGTCCATACTATGTTACTGCAGCTACATTTGTGATTAAGAACTATATACTCTCTGAATAATATTTTTGGATTGTACGATCAGAAATGACATAATATTGCTGGTGGATCTT